AAAAAAAAAAACGAGTCAAGAACGCAAATGTAACAACGATAAACGTGTAATAGTCTTGCAATAAGCTCCGCTTGAGAAGAGTTTAATAAATAATTTTTCTTTGTTTTCCGAACGACTTAGCAATAAATACAATAAAAAAGCGCTGTGAGCCTGATACAAGCCAAATTTCTCGATCCAACAATAACAACACTATAAACAATAATTTAACCAGAGATCGCAAATCGATTGCAGCTTCCTGTTTCGGACCTCTCGAAAATCAAAAACATGGACACGAAAAAGGGAGTAGAAAAAACAACGCAAACAAAAAACGAGGGGTGGCAAAGATAATCAGTCCGTAAGCGCTCGTCCCGCTCATTTGGCATAGTGTTTCCTTCGGGTGGAGGTCCTAATGCAGGGCGCGTTGGGGTTCCGCGGTGGCTCCCGGAAACTCTTGATAGCGCCATTGATAGGAGCACCGAGCTCGCAAGGTCGCCCTCTGGTGGTTTCCTTCCTAAGCGTGGCGTTGGCAACAGACGTGTAGGAGGAGGCCTTGCCATTTTCGAAGAACCGGCACATCTCCCGAACCGGCACCAACTTGACCCCGCCCCTATTGAGGTCGTGCAGGGATCTGGCCCTCTGTTTGCCCTTGGGGCTCGGATTGCTGCTGTTACACGTCCTGCAGAGGTCCTCGGTGCTCCGGGCCAGCCGGCCGGCCATCCTCGTCAGCGACTCGAAGAGCGTGAGCTTATCGCGCACAGGCACGTAGTGGTCGACCCTCTGACAGCGCTTCAGGAGCCTCGCCACGTCCTCCTCGCACGGTGGAGGCTGCTGCTCCTGGAGCACCGACAGCGAGACCGACCTTCGGTACTGCTGCTCCTGCCGTTGCTGCTGTTGGCTAATGCAGCACTCCATCGGAATCTCGGGCAGCTTCGTCGCTACCGCCGAGCTCGACGACACCGTCGTACTCCTCGCAATCGCTGCTGTGGTACTGTTCAACCGCTCCTTGCGCTCCTTGAGCGTTTCTACGTCCGGTTTCGCCGACGCCACTACGGCGGGCAACGACAGCTGGGGACCCTTGTCCCGGACGTTTCGGCGCTCCCGAGCCCGACTCCTGCGCTCGAGCGCCGCGTCCGTCTTGAGGATGCCGAGCTTCGTTAGACTACTGTTCAACTGGTTGTTGCGGCTCACGCTGTCGCTATTTTTGTTACTACTGTGGTTCTTGTTATTGCTGTTGTTGTTGTTATTGTTGTTCCAGTTGTCGTCGTACTGCTGCTGCCTCGTGTTCTCGAACCTTACCGTGGAGCACGTGTCGGTCTGAGGTTTGACGGGACTCGAGTACTTGCCACTGCCGGGGGCATCCTCGATTCGCGAGGAGTTGGTCGACGATGTGGATGAAGAAGACGAAGAGGAAGACGATATTACCCTGGTCAGCTCCGTCTTCGGGGACGTCAGTAACGGCACCTCGTTGTCGTCGTGGTCGTCAACGTTTGCAAACAACCTGGTTCTCGTCGCTTTAGAGGAACTGCTCCTTCTGTGCCTCGACGCGCGATAGCTACTGTCGACACCCTCGTCGTCGTTGTGGTTGTTGTTCTCTTCAGACTTTCGGGTAGTAGCGAGTGTGTTGACACACGGGCCGACCGCCTTGTTGGCCCAGCGTCGCCTGGCATCCTCCTCGAGGACCTGCCTGCGCCTGGCCTCGTTCTCGCGGCGTCTGGCCTCCTTGTAGCGCTGCATGCGCTGTTCTCGAGTGCTAGGCTCACTCAGGGAAATGGCCGAGTCAACCGAGTCGACGCTCGAGCGACAGCAGGGACCACCAGCACCCCAGGGTAGGCTGTCGTCGCTACCCTCGCTGCTCTCGCTACAGCCCCAGGCCCGGCTACTGGTGCTACTATTGTGTACCCCACCGCTCGCGCTCACGACGACGCCCACGACTACTCCCCCACCTGTTACATTAGCCGCGGTGACGGACCCGCCCAGGAGGAGGTCCTCGTCGCTGCTGGTGTTGCTGCTCGACCAGGCCCGGAGCTCGCTACGCGCGCGTCTTCGCGACTCTTCGAGGATCGAGGGGGAGTGTTGGTCAGGGGAGATCTTTTCGATGCTGAGATCGGCGGTGGGCCAGTAACGGAGCTCGCTGCGGGAGCGCCGACGCTGCTCTGTGGGACTGTCGGGGAGAGGCACAGGCCCGCGCGGACAAGTCGTCAGGATACCGAGGAAGTTCAGGCAACGCTGGGCGCGGAAAGGCGTCTGTCGGACTATCTCGGCAGCTATAGCGCGTACCCACGACCACCAGGTCGGCTCGGTGTCAGTCTGAAACAGAAAGTGTACTCCGATGTCAATGTTTCCACTTGGAAATCATTCACCTCAACATCAAACTGCATACTTATGTTAGACACTCTGCTTCATTAGTTACGAAGCTGATGCGACAAGCATGCGAAGATAATTATAATAGAAGGAACAAAAACGTGTAGGTAGTATGTCTTAAATCTTGAGAGCTTGAAGGGATGAGTGAATCTGCTGGTTAATCGGTGGTGATGTAGGAAGTTGAACCCAAGTGGTGTGTCGAGGTATAAATTAGTATAAATTTAATGGTGCATTAATAAATAATATGTATTGAATAAAAATAAACAATAGCTGAAATGTTAAAGCGGGAAATGAAGGAGCAGTTTAAAGCGAAAAACAATTTTTATTTCTACTTTTTTTTAATACAATCACACATTTACTACAAAAATTGGTGAAAATTCAATTAGTTACAGCAAAAAGTGACCACAGTGAATACACGCAAGTGTCTACAGAGTATTTATAAAAGGCTTAAAAATTAGTGCGAGTGAACGCAATGAATAAACATAAACATGTAAGCAGCGCGTATATTATGTGTTCATATTGAGTCGCTAAAAAAGGAGGAGTACAAAACACACGTGCGGGTATACGGTGAAAAGGCAATTATTTACAGCTCTTACGCCCTAATAAGCAGATGGCGTAATGTGCCGTAAGTATGGGTACACTTCGATACACGTTGTAACGTAACAAGCAACGCAGTTTCTTGTAAAATGAGCAGCAACGAGGTAACGCATGGAGTCAATCCTTGTATCGAGAAATCGTTCACAATAATGGTATTTTCAACGATTTCGCGGCAAGGACGGTCAACCGTGTGTATGTCGCTGCTGCTTTGGTTGGCCAGTGAAACAGCTGATAAGAGAGTGTGATAGAAGCTTGACCATGACGGGGCGTATATATACTTAGTTTCGCTCCGCTTCCCGGGATTTGAAAGTCAAACTGAGCGAGTTAGCGTTTTATCTATTTTCAGTGCTCTGTCTCTTGTGGTGGTACGATAAAAAATAGAAAAAAAAAAAAAAAAAAAAAAAAAAAAAAGCTGTGTGGAATCACGAGTCTCTCGCACTCGTGGTACAGTAGTGTCAAAGCAGTAAGTTTGTCTTTGCTACCTCGCACATTCTTTTTTTTTTTTTGTATTTATTTATTCATAACACTGCGGTTAGTAAGTCATCGTCGTCCTTACAGCTGTAGTCGTGTGGTTTAATCTGCAACATGAGAGTAGAGCTCTGATTCTTTTACTTGTTTCGAGATCCTTTTCAATTCACTACCAACCAGTGAATGTTATTTTTTCACGGCATTAAAGTTCCAATGGAATGTTTCGTTACATGCGGTACATAAGTACTGATGTATAGACTCGAAAAAAACTATTCTGATGAAATGTTTATTCATCACCAAGTAACAATAATAAGATTCACCAAATAATTTTTTTTTTTCATCAAATGAATGGCGCAAAATCCGAAATCATTGAACAATAAGTGCACAACTATAGCGTACTACAAAAAAATAGTTGCTTACATCGACCAGTCCCTCTCGACGTCTTTCTCCCACACCGCATTTACCAACCGGTATGCACGAAAATGTGACAATAGACGCACCTCTGGACAACTTGTAAATGGAAGGCGTTGTAATCATGCGGATCGATTGTTCCAAAGGATCGCGCGCATATCCGGCTTCGTCACGTATTGGATAAACCGTTCTCTCAGTCCCGATTTCTCGCCCCTTCAAGTTTCCTTAATCAACGTCGTTACATGGATAATTTTTGAGAAAACACACTTGCTCTTTTGTTCAACACCGAAACGAGGGGTTGGAGAAGACTTCTTTCGATCGAGTAATCATATGCTCGCGTGATCCTAATTAGGAAAAAAAAAAAAACAAGAAAGGGTACGCGAGGATAAAAGTAACGTCGAAAGGTTCCGCAACGCGAAAACAACAATGCATGTGCACGGTATTCAAATGAAGACGTAACGCTGCGCTGTGAAGGGAAATCGCCCGCGGGCGGAGCGTGTTGTGCAGCCCAGACGATCCCGTCGAGAGCGAAAGTAAAATCAGCCTCAATGAACGGCTCTCCGTCAAAGAAGTCGCGCGCATTATCAATGGCTCCATTCGCCTCGCATAATATTATACATCCACTTCGCATCTAGTTAGGTGAAACCGCGAGGCGCGGAACTTTAACGAGCTCTACGGTACACGCACCCGTTGGCTCCCTCGTTTCCTGTATCGCTGCAATTCAATTTTCGACTCGGGGGCACACTTTGCGTCGGTCTATTTGTCCCGTTTGGGAGATCATACACTCGCAGTGTTTGAACAGCCTATGGAAACTTTACGGGTTTTAAAGTACGTGCCGAGGCTAGTGCCGCGTACGCGTGAAAGTTATGAAAGTGCAAGGGAGCAAAGTGATACCTTTCTGGATAAGCCAGCGGACGGTGTTTTTACGGGAAAGGAGGGGAAAAAAAAACATACACACACGTTTTTCAATTACAATAATTTCCATTGTATAATTGCGAGATCTAATCCCCGGGGGGTCAGCGAACTCTGCTTAAGGAGATCTCGTAGAAAAATACAAGAGGAAAACTACAGCAGCGGCTGATGCTCGTTTCTTGGCAAAAGACCGGCCAACTCCCCGCGAGAGAGAGACGCGCGACCGGACTGCTCTTCCGCGACGCTCCATCTCTCCTCCTCGATCGTATCAGGCGCGGGCACGTGTGCAAATGAGGGAAACGACGCTGGCTGCAAGTATTTGAAACACGTGCACTCCGATTAGACGATACACGGGTGGATTGAATCGTTGCTCCTACGTGCCGATACGTTACAATGTTGCGGGTCTAATGGAAATCGGATCGTGAAGATGCGCATCGCGTTTCCGGGTGGATTATGCTTTCTTCCCTGGAAACCACACCATCGGCATCATCTCTCCTGGATCCGAGCTTCGCGGAGCGGAAAATTAACCCATCACGACAGGAGGCATACACGTATACCATCCGATCGCGATCTGCCGAGCGGGTTGGGGGAAAAGTGAAAGAGGCGAGATCTTCTCTCCTCTTCCGCGTACCTCTCGACTCCGTAGAAAATCGCGGACAACGGAGCTGCAATTACTTAATTATCCTCGTATATAAAATGAAATCTAAAAAAAATTATACATGTATAATCACCGAGCAAATGTCAACGCACCCGTTAATCACAATATCTCCCTTTTTTTCTCTCCACAGCTCCGCGGCCATGTATAATCAAGTTTTCCAAAAATAAACGCAAATACGCCCGAGCAAATGTTTTCGCCGCCAGTGAAAGTGTTGTTATACACGCGTATATTATATACCCAATAGGTCTGAGAGAAAAAAAAATGGATTGAGCAGCGGATAGTGCATATTTGCATACGATCACATATGGGCCTCGGCTGCTGTACACTCGCTCGCGGTGGATCATCGGGCGCGTCTGTCTTTCAGCTCAAATTTCCCGCCAAGCAGTGTTGACCGACTTACTGGGATTAAAATTAAAGACGAGAAGGTACATCCTAATTGGCGCAACGACGCTGAGGTTGCCAAACTTAACTGGAGCCCGAAAGGAGAGACTCTTCCGGCTCGGCGGGTTTTCGCTGTGGCGCAACAATTAGACCTCCCATTATGTTTTTGTTATTGTTTCCCAGCCCCTGCATACATGCCGTTTGTACGTAGCCCAAAAGACACGTTTCATTCGCTCGTCTCGTTTGTCTTTTCTCATCAGCATTCTAAATTCGCGTCGGGGGAATGTGCCCGCAGGCCTCTACTCTGGAGCCGAGCCAAGTGCAGTGCAGGAATCCGAAATAGAGACTGGGACTCTGGTTGTGCGCAAAAGGACTGTTTAACTCTCTCTCTCTCTACGATCAAATCGTCAGACGGGAAAAAACATCCCGAGTCCCTATATGCACGAGTGCAATACGTAATCGAGCCTCTCGGGTCTCTACCTAATAGTATGTGTGTGTACCGGAAATGTTTGTGCCTAGAAAAAAAACAAAAAAAAAAAAAAAAACAAAAAAAAAAAAACATTCGTCCGTACGTTGTTGCAGGTGCAACGAGTTGGGTTGAAAATCGATCGGGTATAACAAAACGCAAAAAAGGACTATGATTGTCGGAATTCGGTGCAGCAAACGTGTTGTAAATCTGTATCATGCAAGAGATTTTGCCAGAAACACCATTGGAGGGTGCAGGGGTTTAGGGGAAGTCGTTATAGTTGTGACGCCCAATGAAAGGATACTTTTTTAGCCCCAGAATTGCTGGGAATGTGGTGGTTTAAAAAAACAAAAAAATTAAAACATGGTAAAACGCACATGTGAATGTAAGGACGATGGGTGTTAGTCATTTAAAGAATTAAAACACACAAGCAATGCAGAAAACAGGAAGTGACTAATTATAAAGTATATATACAATCGTGTGGTATACAAAAATAATTTTTAGCTGTATTGAAAAAAAAAAAAAAAAAAACTCACCCAAAATGTGGCGAGGGGGTCGTCCTTGGAGTCACTCAACGTGAAGCCGAGAGCTAGCGCGTGCGGTTGGCAGATGCTGGGCTCGGCTTGTCTGAGATTTAAGGCTCGCAAGGCCAACCGCATCGGCGTCCCTTCGACCCACAGCCAGCCCATTCTTATGGACACGAAGCGTCGCTCGCCCAGGTCCTCCACGTACAGTTCACCTGTTGATGAGAACAACAAAGATTTTTGTTTACTCAATTCGTCATTGAGAGCGTAATTGTATACATTATATGATACATTGGAATATAACATAGAAAAATCAATTTTCCATTTAAAAGTATAAGATACCCTAGAGCTATTTTTATAGATAAAAATTGAAATAAAAAATTGAAATTTCAAAACTTGATTTGACGGAGATTTAATGGTTCCTGGTCAAAAAGAAGTAAAATTGCAAAAACATTCTACGTAGCCAGTACTATTCATATAGAAGCTGTTGAAACGAGTCAATTCACGAGCTTTGATAAGTATTCGTATGGTATCTTCAAATAGTAAAGTATTGTCGGGAAAAAAAGTACGACAAATTTTTATGGTTAAACGGGACTTGTGCATTAATTGGATCATAGATTTTCCACTCCGATAAAAGTGGGATTGCCTAAAAATAGCCCAAAAGAGGAAAAAAACCATATCATAAAATTAGATTGACATACAATATCATAAAAAACTCTACTTGCGTCGCATTGACGTAGCATCCCAAAAAAACCAATACGTTGGCTGGAGGGCGTCTGTAGGTAGCGATGACGCGTCACGTGTCGAAATACAACTAGCTCGATCGAGCAAATCGGGCGGGGGGGGGGATGTTCGATTGACTTCCAAACGCGTGGGACGATTGTATACGAGCAAGGCGGGTTATTGGTACAAGTATATAGGTATCCCGTGGTATACAGAGGGTGTATTAGGGTTTCGCGTGGGCGAAAGTGCATAGCCCGCATATGCTTCTACGCAGCTGACACGCGTACATAGTCGATGAACGGCAAACTATACGTGTATATACAGACATGAAAGTTGATCGGTATTTATTTTTAAACAGTCGTCGCCGTGACGCCACCTATTTTCGATCATAGGATAGTGACGGAAGTAAAGCTATATATGCGGGAGGCGACGGAGAGAAAGCCGTGTATTAAAGGTAATATGTGTCATGAGCGCTGATGTACTTCCGAGTCTAGGGGAAGAGGAGGCGGAGGAGTTTGTGCGCACGTCGATGGTTTTTAAACGCTGGGAAGATGTAACGAGATGTATACTACTATATCGTCGCGATGATGAGTGTCAGCTGATGTGTGAGAACGCAACTGACTTTCGGAGATTGAGGAAGTGATTTTCTATTTTCAATCCAGCTTTCGCGAATATTTGCTTCTTTGGGACATACCATGCAGTTAAAAAAAAATTTTTATCATAGTAACAAAAGCAAACTCGCGTCAAACCTTAATTTATATATAATTATCCGTAACTAACTTGAATTTGCACGGCCCCTTGTCCCCCTCGTCAGAAAGTCGTACTTTCTTCCCGCTGTGTGGGAAAAATTTCTGACCAGAGTAGAGCGTTAATAATACGAGCTATTAAAGCAAAGAATGCTCAGGTTACGTGTTTGCCGTCCGCAGTTTCAGCTCGGGCCACACGTGCACCTTAAGCCCGCAATGTATTATTATTTTTTAATATTGTGTGTTATTACATTAAAATAATTAATTTTTGACACAGTACTTTTTTCACACGTTCGTCGATAACGTTTTGATACATACTTCCTCCCACGCGTCCAAATATTGTTTCGAAGAGTAAAAACTTCATTTTATCGATTCACGAAGCCTTGGTTTGAAAAGTAGATAAACCAAACAAAATCCACATAAATTGTTCATCGCGATCCTCAGACTCGCAGACATTGGTCGGACAACGAGTGTAAATACACCGTATAGCCACGGAAACACGAAAAAGGAGGGGTTGGCAGCAAAAGCCACATCAGTCCTGTTTGGAAACAAATCCTCGGGACAAGATCCAATTACGTAATTACGAGCGGCGCGAGCTCGCACCACCATCAGGGGTGAGTCGATCGCGTTTCCTTCTTCTTGACATCGAAAAAAAAAGAAAAAAAAGGAAGATGAAGTAAAGAGAGAAAGAGAAACTACGTGCACATCCAGTATACATGTTGTGCATGTTCAGGAGAAAAGAGAGAAAATACAATGCTCCGCCTATTTCGCGCGCCCGAGCAGCTACGCTAGCTCGGATGTAACTACTGCAGGCCCACTCCTATCATTAAGTTAACTGCACATCTGTAAGTGTACCGAGCTATACGCGCTCTCCGGGTAGTCGTTTGCCGTCCGATGTTTGAACTGAATAGTAAAATGGGCGGGCGTGTATGGTCGGGGGAAAAAGAGGAAGAAAAAATAAGGGCCCGAGGCGGCGCGGCGAAGAAACGGGAGCCTAGATCCTTTGACTATTTTTTCACGCAAAGGGGGAGTGCTTTTTTTTTATTTAGGCGTCGTTTTCGCGCGAGCAAGTAACGGACGCGTGCATATATAGGTGCAAATACGTATGAATGGGCCTCGGCCCCGTTATTGGTAATAATGATGACGGTCGTAAAGATGGTCTGGTATGCGTGATGTGTGCGAGGTTTTTTGCCCAAGTGATCGATCTTGAAATTTTTTCTTGGGAATTATTTCCTCCCTCGGGCGCGTAATTTCTTGTTACCATATACTTACACTTTGCTTTTCTAGTCACTAAAATCTAGACTAATGTCTACCTGTGTTACCTCGTGGTTTGATTGAATACGTTTTATTGAGTTACTTTTATCTGCAATCGGATATCGTTAAAATATATCTTGAATCTCAGTATTGAATTATTATATTTGCGAATGAAACTCATGAAATCTTTCAAGAAAAATAATTGAGATTAGAATTTTTTTTTGATTACGATATTTCAAGCAGATCGAAAAACTAAAAGGTTACAGGTGTTTCTGGACAGTACTCATGTCTTTAGAATTTTGAGAAGTTACAAGTAATTTTTTTTTGCCACAAATTTACTACACGCTTACAAAACTAATGATTGGGTTATACACTGCGAGAAAAAAATAATAAAAAATTACTGTGTTGGAATGGTGATCTGATGTCATTCTGCCATTTAGGGACTTTTTACTTTGGCCAACCTAATTTTTACCATTCCGGACGGTAATTTCTATCGTACAAACAGTAAAAATCACTATATTTACGACAAAAATTACTGTTCTCAACACGAAAAATTATTGTTTCAATAAAGAAAAGTCTCTAGACCACCGAACACTACCAGATTACCATTCTAGCACAGTAATTTTTATCGTATTTTTTTTCTCCTCGTTTAACTCAGTGTATTTCATTGTTTTTTTGCCGCTCAAAATTTTTTTATTTCGTACAGAGATGGTTTAATGATTAAAAACAGATCGATATGGTTTCTTAAATTATTGTTGATGTTGTATGTTTTAGTGCAAAAAGCATAAAGTTAGTTGAAAACGGCATCAAGCCTAGAACGTTCAATTGTCACATAATTAGTTAAATATCAATAACAGAAAAAAAAGAATCAGTACGGACTTATTTTGTTTTATCCTCGATTGTTCACAGAATTCTTCGCGGTTTTCCTTTGCTCACATGGTGTCAACGATCTCAGTCGTGTGGTTATAATAAGAATTTCGCACTTATACGTGATGTGCAAGCGTAGATGAAGGACAAGTAAGACATATGACCATGAAACGAAAGGCTAGTTGTGACACTTTCAATGATGTATTGAGCAAAAACAAAATGATTGTCAATCGCAAAAATACATCCACATTCACATTGAAGATGGACACAAAAAATTTTCAACAAATGGCTCATTAATCCAACGGCGATGTATTTCACAAACACGTGAAAACTAGAATAACCGAGGTATTACGTATAGGGAAAAATTCCCTCGGCATACTTACACAGTACGAATCAAAGAAACAAGACGCTCATCTACGCGTTCACAATCGCGCAACAAAGTCACGGTGAGCCAAAATAACACCACTATACCTCACATGAATGTTATTCATACGGGCTTGAGTGTACCCTATACATTTATATACTTGGACGCTCTCACACGTTACTTATCAAGGTCATTTACTTTGCTCTCACGTAATATAAAATCAAGAGAGTCTCGGGGTCTTGAGAGCTTCAATTCACGCATTATTTTTAGCCGCACCGTGCGTGTACTATATACTCCTCGCGTCGACGAAACGTAAACGACCATCATCGGATGAGTGACGATAAAAGCAGGCAACTCGTTTCGTCGCTCAACAGTTACAATTATCGTTTTAATTTTCGACCAGCATTTATCACATATTGTTAAAAATAACCGGCAGTAATCAGCCTCTGCCACTTAAAAAAAGCACAACGGAGCGAGGAACCGCGATAATAGGCACCACACCGCGTACAACAACTCGGGGCGCCACGCGGTTGATTTACGCAGTCGACCACGCTCATTCGTCCTGTCGTTGGTTTCAAGCGATAAGCGCGTCCTTATCGGCGCCCTCCCTCTCGTGCCAAACGCCTGTGCGTTGGATTACAGAGTGTGGGCGTCTCTCTCTCTCTTCCCTTTGTTCCTCAGCCGTCAACGTCGGAATTTCACTGGTGTTGGACAACGTTTGACCGCTACGACTCAAAGTATACACTGTATTCAATCATTGTTAAACAAAAAAATGCAAACAAGGAAGTACGTGGTAAATTAATTTCCCACACGCGGTGGTACGATAGTCGACATCGTCAACAGAACCGATCTCGGATCGGATGGGGGCAAAGGTAAGACTTTTCATCGCTGCAATAATGATGATGCTGCCAACAACAACAACAACATACACAATAAAGCCACGAGTGCAGTAACAACAGAAGGAAGCCGATCATGATCTTGATTACATCGAGCGAGTAGTCCATCATCACCGGGAACAAAAAAAAACAAAAAAACAAAAAAAAAACACAAGTGAAAGTCCTTGCATTATTTCGAGCTTCTTTGTATATATTATACCTCCTCCCCTTTCCCCGTAAGCAAGCACCGGTGCTACTGTAATATCTTCCGAGAGCGATAAGGCATGCGAGCATTTGAAGAAATTTTTGCCGATCCACATCAGCTGTACGTCGAAAAAAAAGAATAACATGCAAAAAGAGAGCCAGAAGGAGCCTCGGCCGATTTA